TTGTCGTGCGCCGCGGTGCTCCCCGTGGCGCCGCTCGCCTCCTTCTGCAGCCGCGAGGCCCGCGTGCGGGGCGGCGAGCGGCCGCGCCTGGCGGAGCCGGGGGGCGGCAGCCTCGTTTCCTTCGGCGCTTCGGCATTCGGCGGAAGGGGGGGATTGGAGGAGGAGGAGGAGGAGGAGGAGGAGGAGGAGGAAGGAGGAGGAGGAGGAGGAGGAGGATGGAGGAGGAGGAGGAGGAGGAGGAGGGGAGGAGGAGGAAGAGGCGGAGGACCAGACGGGGGGGGGGTCGGCTCTCCTCCCTCTCCTCCTCCTCCTCCCCTCCTCCTCTCCCCTCCTCCCTCCCCTCCTCCTCCCCCTCTCCTCCTCCTCCGCTCCTCCTCGCCCTCCCTCCTCCTCCCCTCCCCTCCCCTCCTCACCTCTCCTCCTCCTCCCCCTCCTCCTCCTTCTCCTCCTCCTCCTCCGTTCTCTTCCTCCTCCTCCTCCTCCTCCTCCTCCTCCAGACCGCTGCTTGGTGCAGACTGTTTGCAAGAGAGCTGCCTCTGGGGAGGCTCCACCCGCCCGAAGCAGGCGCCAGCAAAAACAACCAAGATCTACTCCATGGGGGGGAGGGAGGGAGGGGGGTTTGGGTGCCCGCGCCAATCGGCAAAACAATAACTTGCCATCGCTCGGACGTCCATTCCCCGTGCGTTTTTCGGTTCTGTGCGTGGCTTTCTGCTCGGTGGTCCAGGATGCTCCTCGAGTGTCCTCGCCAGGAAGCGCAAAGCACACGTCCGAGCGGTGCCAGGGGGAGGCCCCGGGCAGGGGAGGGGCGGAGGGGGGGGGCGGGGCACGGCCAGGGAGGAGGATCATGCCTCCCTTGCCCGCCTCCTCCACGCTCATCCTCGCTCCTCGCCCCTCGCGGCGGCTTTTCTGCTCCTCGGTCGGTGGGGTCGGACAAGAAGGGCATGGCGAGTCGTAGCCAGCCCGAGCAAACAGGCACCATGACAAGAACAAAGGGGGATGAAACCAAAGCGGCAACAATGCGGACAAGAGCACGCTCCGAGTGTCCTGGTCCTGAGGAGTCCTCCGGAAGCTCCAGGAACGGGTTCCGAGGCTCCTAGAAGGCACCCCGAGGAGGCTCGGAGGGAATCTCAGTCCCAATTATCCCCGAGTCTGGAATCAAGCAGTAAAGAGCTCCCGCCCACACTAGTTGCAGCCACACGGCATACCTACACGAGAGACGCCATACGATCTTGTCACAAAATGGGCTTCGCCAGCCTTGTCACACCCTACGATATCCTGCACGTGCGGGATGGTGCGCGACCTGGGGGAATCTCTACAACACACGGCACTGTATGCTCAGCACGCATACCGCGCAACACTGTGCTAAACCTGAAGAGCAAGCTGTTATGATCGATGCAGTGGAGGCCCGTCAACAAGAAACCATCCACAACAAACCTAGCCCTGAGACCCCAGGACGTCAATCAATTTTTGGTGTAGGAGCATCACGCTTTCCATCGGGAAACCATCGAACCCCAAGAAATTCAGAGCATCCTGGAGGCAAGCAGGGTGTTTCTTGGCATGGGTCTCCACTGCATGGTCTGTCCTCTTTCACTGGGATTTGTACCAGCTCGCCCCCCACATCTCTCGCGGCGTTCGTAGCCCCCTCGTTCGGAGGGTCGCTCCCCTGGCTGTCGCCAAAACAACTGCCCAAACCAATGCACCCATCGGTGCAACAAGCTCCCCAAGACCTGCGGTATGAGGTTCCGCTATTCGGCAAACACATCAAGATTACAGAGCTGGCTGGGGCCGAAGGGAGATCACTGGCACCCCCAACTGCTCAACATCGAGGGCAGCTTCCTCGAGCGTGAAATCCCTCTCATAGCCTTCCTGGGGTTTCAGCCGGCCGGGGTCGGGGAGGGGTCAGCCTCGCAAGCCTGCCTGCCCGTGTGAGTAGGGGCCTCCCTGGGAGTGGTCCTCCTCCTGCTCCTGTCACCCCTCCCCTCCTCCAGGCCCCAGCCCAAGCTTTAGCTGCATTTCGATTTGGCCGAGGTGGGCCGACAACCCCGCACGTGGTGCTCACAGGGCGGGACCTGGCCTGCTCCAGCGGACCATGCGCTTCAGCCCAGACCCACTGGGCATCGGCCTCCCGATGCGGGGCGGCATCGCCAACATAGCGCTGTGCTGTACACCTCGGCGATGCACAAGTCTGGACATGGCAGCCTCTGTCTCGTCTCACTCAACATCCTCGTTGCGACGAAGCACGCCACCCTAATGTGCTTCAATGCTAGCGCCTTGATCGCCAAGGCCACCTGCCTCGTCCCGCAAAGCCCCCCCCGTGGAACATGTGGCCGAACAGCACAAGATTCTGCGAGCCACTGTCGTGGGCACGACTTCCCATTGGTCGGAGCTTATCGCGACTTGCCTCGTGATTCTCCATGTGGTGTTCGTGTTCCTCGTTGGGCAGTTCGAAGGCGCCTGCATTATCACAAGTGGCCTCTTGTTGTGGATGCCACCCTCCTCATGGAAGCCAAAGGCCTCCTCGCCAGGATGGTTGCGACGCTCTCGCAGGAACTGCCGCGACGGCCGTAGTCGAGTCGCCCTCGTCCACCTCTGCGCCACGGTCCGCATTTTTACTATCATCCAAGGTGCTTCTTGCACTCTCCGTGTTTCAGCTGCTGTGTGGGCACCCCAACGTCTGCTCATCTTGCGTACAGTTGTTGCTGTTTCACACTTTCAAGTTCGATTTGTACGGTATTGGTACTCGGGCGCTATATCATATGGCGTGCTGTTTCACACTCGGTCTGCTCCTAGATTCAGTCGCTCGGAAGTGCACCCGAATTCCTCAGTTCTCTCGCATGACAATTTTCCGAGCGTCTTTGACTGGCGCAAACTTTGCTGTGAGCACTACGGCGGAGCAAGTATGTTAGCATAATGCATTTCCTTGAACAGCGAAAGCAGTAAAAGTTGTTTAGTCTCCAGACAAAGCGCACGAACTGAGGCACCGGACGACTGGTGGCTTGCGGGCTGCCTGGTGCAACCTATGGCGAAGCCGATGGCGCACAGGTATAGCCAATGCAGTAACGGACGATTCGATGGCTTGTGGGGTCCCTGGCGCAAGCTATGACACTACCTACGGCGCAACCTATATGAGGCAATGCCGCCCCCCCCCCACACACAGAAACAACATATGATTTTGTGGCTTGCCAGGGTATTTGGGGGACCGCATCGCGCGACCCATGTGGCGCAGCCTATGGCACAATCACTGGGGCAGCAGACGATTTGGTAGATGGCGGAGCGCCTGGCGCCACCTGTGGCGAAATCTATGGCTCAACCTACTGGGCAATGGCATGCCGGCATGCCCATGGACCCAGCATGCATTTTGTGGCTGCGGGGTGCCTGGCACAACCTATAGCGCAACATATGTGGCGAAACCTATGGCTCAATGGTGCAACCAAATGAGGGAGCCATGCTTGGGAACGGACGACTTGGTGGATTGGGGGGTGCATGGCGCAACCCATGGCGCAATGGTGCACCCAATGATGCAACCAACAATGTGGTGGCTTGTGGGGTGCCTTGCGCACTGTGGACGATGTTGGCGGATTGCGGGGTGCCTGGCGCAACCTAATGAGGCAATGGGCGATTCGGTGGCTTGCGGGTGCATGTGTGTATGTGTATGTGTGTCGCTGCCGCGCAAGCGGGGAGCAACGACGCTGCCTCTCCCCAGAAGGCGGCACCCTTCCTGCAACCCTTCCCCGACCTCACGGTCGGCGCAAACCAAGGCGTCGAGCCTCCTGTGTCTCCCTCGGTTTCCGCCCTTCCGCCACTTCCCGACTCCCTCGCGCTGTGTCCGCGGCAGGAGAGCCGCTCGCTCGCCGAGGGCGCGCCTGCCCTCTCCTCCTCCTCCTCCTCCTCCTCCTCCTCCTCCTCCTCCTCCTCCTCCTCCTCCTCCTCCTCCTCCTCCTCCTCCTCCTCCTCCTCCCCCACCTCCTCCTCCTCCTCCTCCTCCTCCTCCTCCTCCTCCTCCTCCTTTGTCAAGAACATCAGGATGCCCTCCCCGAGCCGAGCTCGACCCTGTACCCTGGTCCGACCGTGCACGTCGCTCATGTCTCATCGTGCTCATTTCTAGTTGTGCTCGCTTCCAATTGTTCCCGGCCCTCCGGTGGCCAGGAAGAGGCCCGGGACAGAAGAATTCGAAATGACAGGATCTTGGCCCCCCAGAAATCAGAGAACTCGAAGACTTAGAAATGAACAGTGTGTTGGCCAAGAAGGAACAAAACTGCTGACGCCAACCTTGCGGAGCAAAGGCTGACGACAGCCCTCCGCCGTGCCGCCCGCGCGCCGCGCCCGAGTCGTGCAGCTGCGGAGAGAACAAACAAAAGACGCCGTGCCGTGCCGAGCGCGTGCCGGGCCCGCGTTTCCCAGCATGCGCCAAGCGTGCCGTGCAGTGCCCGCGTGCCGTGCCATGCGCGCGCCGCGCCGGGGCTCCAGAAGGCAGGGGGGGCCGAGGCACAGGGGGCCTTCCGCAATAAACCTGGCCCTGAGACCCCAGGACGTCCATGGAATTTTGGTGCGGGAGCGTCACGCTTTCCATCGCAAAGCCGTCGAAACCGAAGAAACAGGAGGAGGAGGAGGAGGAGGAGGAGGAGGAGGAGGAGGAGGAGGAGGAGGAGGAGGAGGAGGAGGAGGAGGAGGTGCTGGAGTCGGGTGCAATCACAGGAGGCCGGGTCCGAGGTATGCGCCCTCGCGTATTGGAGCGCCTTCCTCTGTCCTATCTCCTCTCTCCTCTTTGTCCCCATCTCCTCGCCCGCTTCATCCCGAGCCGTCTCTGCCTGGGGCAATTTGGTAGGATACACCTTAGGCGATGCTTAAGAAAACCTAAGTTTTCGGCCAGAGTCTCGACTATTCTTAACGTTTCAATGTAAATCCTAAGATTTGAATGGAAATTTTGGGTTTTTATTCAAGTTCTGAGGCTATGAATTTCTTAACCCATGATTTCTAAAGCATTTCGCAGGGTGTAAGCGAGACCAGTCTGCGAGGTGGCGCTCCTCGGAGCCTGTTTCCATCCGTGCTGGGACGCAGAAGGACATACTCGTACTATTGGAGGCGCGCGCCCGAACTCCTCCAGCTCCTCTTCCTCCTCCTCCTCCTCCTCCTCCTCCTCCTCCTCCTCTTCGTCCTCTTTCTCCTCCTGCTCCTTATCATCATCCTCCTGCTCCTCATCCTCCTCCTGTTCCTCCTCCTCCTCTTCCTCCTCCTCCTCCTCCTCCTCTTGCTCATCCTCCCAGACCGAACACATAGTATAACCATCTTGTAGTATATCGTTTCCAGAGCGGCAGGGCCAAGAAACGCCCGCCACGGAGCGTACAGCATGAGATTTCTCGGCGCGCGCGTCGCCCCCTTTTGGGCACACGCGCACACGCAGTACGTATGAGCAGGTGGGGGTGACGCCGATGTGCCGTAGCCCCCTCCGAGCCGCAGATGCAGGCCTCGCCCGAGTGCCAAGCGTCCTCGGCAAGCTCCCTGTCGGCAGCGATTAGAGACGTGCCCTTCCGCGAGATGGCACCGCGACCTCACGCGGCGGCTTACGCGGGCCGCCAGCGCGACGCGCTACTCTGAAGACGAAGGCGCTTGCGCGCGAGCTTACGCGGGCAGCTTACGCGCGAATGTCGGCGCCGACGACCCCACTCCGCGGAGAAGGAGGAGGAGGAGGAGGAGGAGGAGGAGGTGGTGGTTCTCCGCGGACGGGTGAGGCCGTCTTCTTGGGCATGCCACATCGAGGCCGCTTCCCTTGCCAATTTTAGGTCGGGCATGTCCCCCCACAGGCGAACTTTGGACGACATATAGCAATACTTAAACATGCTCTAACTAATCACCAAAGGATGACAAATGCTCAACATGCTCAAACTAATACAAATAAGCATACAAATTAATGAAACATAATGACAAAATCGTCCCCAGGGTATTGTTGGACTACTTTTGACTATTCCTCCTGTAAGGGGGACAGGCCCAACTGAGTGCCAAGTCTTGGCGCCGCCCCGCTGCCTCGGCTACACGCAAGAGTGACCCTGGGTAAGAGTCACCTTTGGTGCGCGGCTTTTTGGGACCGCGGGGGGGCCAAACACAAGCGCGCAAGCCGCTGCTACCGCTTCTCTTTCGGCCATCTGGGGGCCCATCTGTGCCCGCACCAAAGGTCACTCCGGCGAAAGGTCACTCTTACGCCTAGTCGATGCCTCCTCCTGGGCTGGGGGGGCCCGGCCCGCACCACCGCCCGGGCTCCGCCCGCCCCGCGCCCCTCTCCCCGAGCCTGGCAGATCGGGCACCGGCCACGAGGGGGGCGCCCAAGCGGTGGGGGCACCAGGCATGGCCGGCGGCCCAGGCCGCACACGTGACTCCTCCTCCTCTTCCTCCTCCTCCTCCTCCTTATCCTTATCCTCCTCCTCCTCCTCCTCCTCCTTATCCTTATCCTCCTCCTCCTCCTCCTCCTCCTCCTCCTCCTCCGCCCCCGCCTCCGCCTCCTGCTCCTCCTCCTCCTCCTCGTTATCCTCCTCCTTATCCTCCTCCTTCTCCTCCTCCTCCTCCTCCTTTGGGTATGAACTCGCCGGGCCATCGCGGCACAAATTAAGCCTGGGGCACGGGGCGTACTGGAATAAGAAGAGGCGCCATGAAGTCAGGGGAGATATATCATGGCCCCCGGCATGGTATCCCACCCCCCTGGTCATCCCCTCCCTCTTTGCCCCTCACCCGAGCCTGGCAGCGAGGCCCCGCACGGCCAGAGGCTGTGCCGAAGAGGCCCTCCTGTGCCGAGCGGGCCCGCTGTGCCATTCTGGCCGCCTCCCTTGCCTAAGACGCAGCGAGGGCGAGGATTACTTCGGGCGAGGACAACTCGAGAATCTCGGGCGAGTATCAACTTGGACGAGGATTAATTCGGGCGGGACAAATTCGGGCGCGGGTGCATTCGGGCGAAGATACATTCGGGCAGGGATGAATTCGGGCACGGACGGCTCTGGAGGACGTATCGGGCGTCGCGGCCATGTCAGAGCGTTCCGGAACGCCCTGAGAGCGTTCTGGGACGCTCTGGAACGGACTTATCCTCGTCCCAGCCCCGTCCGACTGCCGCCGGCTGGCGTTTCTTGGGCGTCGCTCAACCGGGGATGCGATAAATGGCAGATTCTGGAAGCCCTGAGCCCAAAGAGGTTGTCATCTCTTGGGAGGCCGACTTCTGCTCCCGCCAGCTTCCGCCGGCCTATCGCCAGCTTCCCCCCGCCGAGCCGCCCTCGTTTTACTTCCGCCGCCTTCCGCCGATCTTCCGCGGCCTTCCGCCGAGGAATAGATGACAACTCCTTTTATCCTCGAAGGCGAAGCCCTTCCTAAAACACTCCAAATGGGGGGGGGGAGAAAGTACACTTTTCGAGCCCTAGAGGCCCTTTTTGGGGCACCAATGGGCTCCTTGGGGGGCCCCAGCGGGCCCTTTTTCTGCAGCCCTCGCTGCCCCCCCACTTATCGCCCCCTCCATTGCGCGACGCACGAGATTCGCACGAGATTCCTAGAACAGGGCGCCGCCAGAGTGGCTGAGTGCTGCGCGGAGGCAGCTTGGTCAAGAGAGCAGGACCGCCCATGTCCCGCACAGGCGCCGCAACCTGCTCGCCGATCTTCGCGCCGCTTCTCATCAAGCGGGGGAGTTCTCCGGCCTTGTCTCAGAGTGCGGCAGGAGCTTAGGGCTCAGGGTGGAGGCATGCTCGTCGGGGAGCGTCGCAAGCAACGCTGGGATGGATTGCCTGCTGCTCCGCATGGGATCGATCTCTCCCAATTCGGAGCGCAGCAGTGCGGATCAACAGCTTCGCCCTCGTCCCTCCGCGCACCCCGGTGTTCCTCCCCGCCACCAGGACCTCGAGCAACAATGCGCCAACACTCGGGGGCGCGCAAACATGGATTAGCGATCTATGGATTTGGAGCGCGGTCGCCAAATCCATGGATCGTTGGAGGTGCCCTCCCCAAAATGCGGCCGGTGTCGCCTCTTTCGGCGGCGGAAATCCGCGATTTCCAATGGAAACAGGCCCCGTCGCTAATCCACGCCCCCTTGATCCATGTTTGCGATCGCCTGGAACACTCCGCCTCGTGTGCGTATAGTAGGAGCTCGCCCACAAGAAACCTTCCCTTCCACAAGAAATCCAACCCTCAGACCCCAGGACGTCCATGGATTTTTGGTGTTGGAACGTGGCTCCTTCCACAGCAAAACCATCAAAAGCCAAGAAACCCAGGGCACCATGGAGGCAAGCGAGGCTCCACTGTACATCCGGTGCCCTGCGCCAGGGGATGAAGGACCCGCTCCATACGGGGGACGCCAAGCCCGAGTGGTCGGGGATGTGGGCACTTCGGCGCTCCCCGCCACGCCCGTAGGGCCCAGAGCCAGAGCAGGAACTAAGGAGCTCGGAACCCAGAGATCCGATGTCGTGATTTTTTCAAGACGGGGTCCCTGGAAGTCTCGACCCATTCCCCAGGACCGGTTTTTCGTCCTGAGTCGATTTTGACGGTCCCGAGGCCCGGCGAGGGTCCCTAGGGGCCGAAATTAGCGAAAAACCTTCGTCTTGATTTTTTCAATATGTTGGATCTCTGGGAATCTGGCGCCGTCGCGAATCATCACCGCGTCGGTGAACCCAGGCACCGTGCTGGTGAGTGTGGAACTGGCGGGCGGAGGACATGTGGAGGCCTCCTAGACGGGGTCGGAGTAGATGGGGTCGGAAGATCGCGCCGTATCGCCGATACATCGGCGATGCATCGGCGATGCATCGGCGATGCACCAGCGATGCATCGTCGACGTGGGCGATGCATCGGCGACACCAACGTGAAGCAAATCGGGCTCACCATCGAGCCGCGTCGGCGATGCAACGGCGATGCGGCGCGATCCTCCGACCCCATCTACTCGGACCCCATCTGGGAAGCCTAGAACATCGCGTGCGTCGGAACCTGGCAGACTGGGCGGACGGCGCGTTGCGCGACGGAGTGCGCCAATGCGAGCAGCGCGTCAGCCGCAGAAAGCCGCAGGAAGCCGCCATCGCGGACCAAGACCCACCCACGTCCCGCTCCATCCTGCTGCTCCCCCAGGAGGAGGAGGAGGAGGAGGAGGAGGAGGAGGAGGAGGAGGAGGAGGAGGAGGAGGAGGGATACGAGGAGGCGGTGGCACGGCGGCGGGGCCTCTTGTGCCTGGCGGCATACGCCACGCAGGCGACGATGCCCACGATGCCTACGCGTTGGGACCGGGGGCACCTCCCCGCCGGCCATGCCCTTGTTCCCACTTGCGCTCCTCCTCCCCCGCTACTTTCTCCCAAGTTCTGCCATCAATCCTCGATGGTCGAGCGCGGAAGCTTCCGGAGAGCGCGCCCTGGGGGACCGGCCCCAAGCGACCCCTCCCCCTTGCCCCTTGTGGCGCCCTCGTTCAGGAGCCCCCCCTCTCCTCAGTCCCACCCAGCCATCGCCTGCTCCTTTGCCTCCGCCTCCGCCTCCTCTCCCTCCTCCTCCTCCTCCTCCTCCTCTTCTCCTCCTCCTCCACCTCCTCCTCCTCCTCCTCCTCCTCCTCCTCCTCCTCCTCCTCGTCGACGCCTCCTCCTCTTCCTCCTTCTGCTCCTCCTCCTCCTCCTCCTCCTCCTAATTTCCAATATTTCCACCCCCTCAATTTCCACCCCCGCCGACCCCTCCCAGCTTTTGGCGCCCCCCCTCCCCTCCAGGAACCCCCCCTGCCCTCCCCTCCCTTTGCCCTCCGGCGCCCGGCCTCTGGAAGCCATGGGGGACGCATGCGGGCGGTCCCACTGGAGGCTTCGGTGGAGCTCCCTCTGGGGGACGCATGCGGGCGGTCCCATTGGGGGCTTCGGTGGAGCTCCCTGTGGCGCCACAAGCGCTGGACTGGGCGTGTGAAAATGCTAGGTTGGGCATGGTGGACGCATGCGGGCGGTCCCATGGGGAGCTTCGGTGGAGCTCCTTATGGGGCTACGGAGCGCTGTGCTGGGTAGGTGACAGTGCCAAATCGGATGTGGGGGACGCATGCGGCCGGTCCCACTGGGGGCTTCGGTGTGGCTCCCTATGGGGCCACGAAACGCTGTACTGGGTGGGTGGCAATGCCAAATCGGGTGTGGGGGGCGCATGTGGGCGGTCCCACTGGGGGTTTCGGTGGAGTTCCCTACTGGGCCACGAATCGCTGTACTGGGTGGGTTAAAATTCCAACTTGGGTGTGGGGGACGCATGCGGGCGGTCCCATTGGGGGCTTCGGTGGGGCTCCCTATGAGGTCACGAGTTGGTGAAAATGCAAAATTGGGCGTGGGGGACGCATGCGGGCGGTCCCATTGGGGGCTTCGGTGGAGCTCCCAATGGGGCCGCGAAGCGCTGTACTTGGTGGGTGAACATGCCAAATTGGGTGTGGGGGACGCATGCGGGCGGTCCCACGGGGGGCTTCGGTGGATCTCCCTGAAAGGCCACGAAACGCTGTGCTGGGTTGGTGACAGTACTACCTTGGGTGTGGGGGACGCATGCGGGCGGTCCCACTGGGGGCTTCGGTGGGGTTCCCTCTTGGGCCACAAGCGCTGTACTGGGTGGTGAAAATGCCAAATTGGATGTGGGGGGCGCATGTGGCGGTACCACTGGGGGCTTCGGTGAAGCTCCCTATGGGGCCACGAAGCGCTGTGCTGGGTGGGTGACAGTGCCAGGTTGGGTGCGGGGGACGCATGCGGGCGGTTCCACTGGGGGCTTCGGTGGAGCTCCCTATGGGGCCACGAAACGCTGTACTGGGTGGATGAACATGCCAACATGGGCGTCGGGGGCGCATGTGGGCGGTACCACTGGAGGCTTCGGTGGAGCTCCCTATGAGGTCACGAAGCGCTGTACTGGGTGGGTGAACATGCCAACATGGGCGTGGGGGACGCATGCGGACGGTCCCACTGGGGGCTTCGGTGGAGCTCCCTATGGGGCCACGAAGCGCTGTAATGGGTGGGTGAACATGCCAAATCGGGTGTGGGGGACGCATGCGGGCGGTCCCACTGGGGGCTTCGGTGAAGCTCCCTATGGGGCCACGAAGCGCTGTGCTGTGTGTGTGACAGTGCCAGGTTGGGTGCGGGGGACGCATGCGGGCGGTCCCACTGGGGGCTTCGGTGGGGCTGGCTCCCTATTGGGCCACGAATCGCTGTACGGGGTGGGTGAAAATGCCAAATTGAACGTGGGGGGCGCATGTGGGCGGTACCACTGGTGGCTTCGGTGGAGTTCCCTATTGGGTCACGAAGCGCTGTATTGGATGGGCGAACATGAAATTGGGCGTGGGGGACGCAAGCGGGCGGTCCCGCTGGGGGCCTCGGTGGAGCTCCCTATGGGGCCACGAAGCGCTGCACTTGGTGGGTGAAGATGCCACATTGGGTGTGGGGGACGCGTGCGGGCGGTCCCACTGGGGGCTTCGCTGGAGCTCCCTATGGGGACACGAAACGTGTGAGGGATGTGCCGAAATGGGTGGGGGGACGCATGCGGGCGGTGGAGAGGAGGAGGGGGAGGAGGAAGAGAGGAGGAAAGGAACGCGGGAACTGTCTCTTCAAACACCACAGGATGGTTGGGAAAAACACCTGGGCTCGCCCCATCCGTGGAAATGGGGCCCCAACTTCAAGATGGGGGGGTGCTTCGGAAGCAGCCCCCTTTTGCAAGGATTGAGGGGGGCCACTCCTCCTGGTTGTACTTTTGTTCGCACTGCTGCAGTTGCTGCTGCAATTGCTGCTGCTCCTGTTCGTTTGCCTCCACGTCCTCATTCCCCCCTCGTCGTATCCCTTAGTTTCCTTCTCCTTTTGCTACTCCTCTTTCGCCACCTGTTTCTTCCTCTTCGTTCCCCTCTGTTCGCTTCATCTCTTGTACCCCCTCGACTACCTGCTCTTCTTCCTCATCCCATCCTGACTGTCCTCCTTCCCCTCCTTCTCCTCGCCGTCCTCCGCTTTACCCTCCCTCCTCCATCCTCCCAAATTCATCACCATCATCACCCGTCCTCCTCCTCTTCCTCCTCCTTCTCCTCCTCCTCCTTCCCCTCCTCCTCCTCCCCCTCCTCCTCCCGTCCCCTCCCCTCCTCCTCCTCCTCCTCCTCCTCCTCCTCCTCTACAATACAATTCTCAATATGAATACTACTCCCCCTCTTCCCCCGAAGGCGGCCTGAAAGTAATCGACCCCCCCCCCGCGTACTGTTTTTTTACACACAGGACTCCCGGGAATTGGGTTTTCGCATGCGTTTTTTTCAAAATGCTGCTCTCGCTGAGGCGCCGGCCTCATTTCTGCTCCCGAATCGTTCTGAATCGTGCTCCCGCTGCAGCGTGGGCCTCATTTTCGGATCGGTGTTTTGCCTCCGTCGTTCAGGATGGCGTTCTCGCCCCAGCGCGGGCCTCTTTCTCGCGCGCCCATCCGCCCGCCACCACCGCGCCGCACCACGCCCCGCCCCGCCGCACGCACACCCACCGCCACTTCCACCCACCAGCGCACGCACGCACGCACGCGCACCACCACCGCGCACCGCCACCACCACCGCACTACCCCACCCACCACCACCACGCTACACCGCGTCACACCACATCACACGCGCGCACACACAGACACACGCACGCACGCACACACGCACACACACACATACACACGCACACACACACACACGCACACACAGACACACACACACCACCACCGCCACCACCACCACCGCCATCACGCACGTACGCGCCTGGCCCACCACCAAACCACCAAGACGCCACACCACGTCACACCACAGCACACGCGCACACACGCACACACACACATACACCACCACCACCACCCCCACCATCACCACCACCACCACCACCACCACCACCACCACCACCACAACCAGCACCAGCACCAGCAGCACCAAGCACCAGCACCAGCACCAGCACCACAACCACCAACACCACCACCACCACCACCACCACACACCACCACACACCACGCACACACGCACGCACGCACGCGCACCACCACCCACTACGCACGCGCGCGCGGAGCCACAGGTCCGCTACGACACGCGTCCGCGGATAGAGAAAATCAGCGCCATGGTAAGGGATGGGAGGGAGGGGTAGGACGTCAGATATGACGCGCGCGCACCTAGCTTGTCCTCTTCCTCCTCCTCCTCCTCCTCCTCCTCCTCCTCCCGCCTCCCTTTTCGTTGTCGTCGCCGCTTTTCTCCTCCTCGTCATCCTCCTCCTCTTCTGGTTCTTCTTCTTCTTCTTCTTCTCCCTCCCTTCATTCACATGATCCTGCTTCTGCTGCTTCTCACGACTCTGCGTCTCCTGCCCATTCGGATCTACATCTTGCTCTTGCGCGGACCGCGCGCTACGCAATGTCCCCTGGCGACGCGCTCTGAAATTGCTCTGCGCGGTGTGCGCGCGACGGCCCACGACGCCTTTACTTCCTCCTTCTCCTGTTTGCCAGCTGCATGCCCCCCCCTGCTCCCTTTCCCCCTCCCCCCTCCTTTCCCTCCTCCTCCCTCCCTCCCTCTCCCCCCCTCTCTCCCCCCCCTGCCTCTCCCCTCCCCGCTCCCTGTCCCCCCTGGCCCCCCGCCCCGCCTCGTGTCCTCCCCTTCCTTTCCTCCCCCGCCCCCTCCAAATCCTCAGATCGACCCCTGAACCTCTCCTGGCCTGGATCTCGGGGCGAACCCAGCAATGACGAGGAGTCCGCCCCCCGAATGCCCTGAAGGGGGGGGGGGGGAGGAGGAGGAGGAGGAGGAGGAGGAGGAGGAGGAGGCGGAGGCGGAGGAGGAGGAGGAGGAGGAGGAGGAGGAGGAGGAGGAGGAGGAGGAGGAGGAGGAGGAAGAGGAGGAAGATGATTTTTAAAGTGCACCGCTGACCCAGGCGCCTAGGGCAGAGGACTGCCAGGGACTGGCCGCCAGGGCAGAACATCTAATCGGAGGGCTCGCATTAAGAATCACCGGAACATCGGACGAGCGGCTGCTCATCCTCCTTCCCCCGGAGTGCTTGCACCACCGCCGAAAGAGCGCGGACAAATGGTTGCACCCCAAAGACGGCAGCGGCCGCCTGCTCTTTACTGGAAACGGACTCCTCCTCCCCCGACTCCGAAGGAAACGGCTCCTCCTCCACCGCTGAAAATGGCAAACGTCCTGGCTCGCAACTTCTTAATAAGGGGGGAGGCCCCTGCACAGACGCTGTAAAACCTCCTGCTGAGCTTCTCCCCTGACTCTGCCTGGGAGATCTTAGTACCTCTCCGCGTACGTCGGATTCCAAACCTTGATTTTCACATGGTTTCATGTACAACCCGATTGTTATCGGTGTTTCAGAACGGTGCTCCCGCTTCAGCATGGGCCACTTCTCTGGATCCAGATCCTGTCGCCCCCCTCCCCTCCTCCGCCTTGCGTTCCTTCCACTCCAACACCTGCTGCTGCTGTTCGTCCTCGTCCTCCTCCTTTCTCATTCTCCTCATTTTCTTCCTGATCATCCTCCTGCCCGTCCGCGACCTTATCCTCCTCCTCCTCCTCCTCCTCCTTCTCCTCCTGCTCCTCCTCCAATGTACGCAACTGTCCTTTTTTCTCTCCCAATTGCGCATGACACGCTCGGGCCCCTTTTGTAGCTCTAGGCCCGCTACATACGACATGCGCCGGCGGATCGAAACAGCGCCATGGGAAGGGATGGGTCCGAGGGGCAGGATGTCAGATATGGCACGAGCGCACCTAGTTTGCCATCTCCCCCTCTGCCCCCCCCCTCTCGTCCCCTCCGTTCCCGCCGCCCGCCGCGCGCCGCCTGCGAGCAGCAGTGCCCACAACCACCACGGCAGACCACCACGGCGAGCCGCCTGAGTGGCCACCGGCCCGCCGGGGGGGGAGGGAACCCAATGGGGCCCTTGGGGACCAACACCGCACAGGTCCTCCGAGCGCCGCAACAAAAATCACAAGGGGCTGCTTCCAGATTTCTCGGCCCCTATGGGGGCTATCTTCAGGCCCCCCTGTTGCACTAAAGAGTAGCCCGAGGCGAAGCACGGACTCCACGGATGGGCTCGAGAGCAGCCCTGGGGGCAGGGGCGCTGACAGAAAAATGCGAGGTCGGAAATCTGGGCAGCCGCCACGGCCGAGCCGCTGGAGTGGTTGGGGTCCCACCCCGAGGGGGTCTGGAGGAACGATGAAAGACGACTGAAGATGGCGGGCCGATGCGGCCGCAGGCGAAGTAAGAGGAGGGAATCCCACCACCTGTAGGCGTAGGTGATTTAGCGAGTTCGCTCTTCCAGCCCTGTAACCACTGCCCCTTCGGGAAGGGGTTCACCCCTTCCCTTTACTCCCCACGCTGGACCTTCCCCGTCTGGTGAAGCCTCCGGGGGGCCTATGGAGGCGTTTTTTGGGTCTTTAGGTTTGGGGACCTCTGGAAGGCGCCTTGGAAGCCGTACGGGACCTCCCAAGGCCGTCAGGGACCTGTGACGCGCCCAGGACGTTGGACGCCGTCGGCATTTTCGCACCTTGGGCGGTCCTGGAGCTCTCCTGGGGCTCTCGTGGGCTGGGCCGTCCTGGGCCCCTTCCCTTCCGGGGCTCTATCGGAGCGGTCTTTGAAGTCATTTTGAGGCCACAGGGGCCCTCCGGGAGTTCCTCGACGCCGAGATCCCCATCGAACTCTGTCTATGAGTATCTGGGCGTGTGAGAGCGAGTCCGCGTAAACGACAGGCGCGGCAATGACGACGACGACGACGACAAAGACGACTTCAGTGCCGTTCTCCTCCTCCTCCTCCTGCTCATCCTCTGGACATCTTCAGGGAGAAGGCGAGGGACACACAACTGGAAGAGCGAGGGGGAGTTCCTCTTGCCGTTCTCCCCGCGGCAACTCTGGCAAGCGCGCATGGCATTGCCACGCCCACTCTCTGGCGTGCTACTCGCGGCGCCTGCTGGCATTTTGGGTGGCCACGTGCTGCTCAGGCTATATCGCGGTAGCTGTTTGTGTGCGAGAGCACTAGTGCGAATGAATCTGAGCGTTGGTAATCTGAGTGTGAACGAGTCGGAATGTGAGTGGGCCTGGGTATGGGCGAGCCTGAGTGAAAATAAATCTGGCTATGCTCAGTGTGCGTACGAGTGGGTTTGAGTATGAGTGAGTTTTTTTTTGAGTATGAGTGAGTCTTAGATCTACAATTTCGGCGTGACTGAGAACGACGCGGAGAAGAACGCCTTGAAGCCAAAAAGCGACCACGCCCCGCTCCCAGGCGCCAAAACTGGAGGAAAAGGTTCTGGCAAAGGGAAGAACCTGGACTCGTGTGGGGCCAATGGGAAAAGCAAAGGAAGAAGAAAAGCGAAGGGCAAGGTCGACGCAGGGAAGGGCAAGGACGACAAGGGAAAGGGGAAAACATCCATTACGACAACATGGAAGCCGACCTGGAAACCCATGGCGCCCTCTCGAGATGGGAAAGGCGGCGCTAAAGGGTCAAAGAGTGGACCAGGCGGGAACACCACAGGCAAGAGCAAGAACAAACCGAAAGGCTCTTCTGGACTGTGGTGAAAGGCATGAGCGTGGCGGACTTCTGCAACCTCCTGGAGTGCTGACAAGACATTCCAAACATGTACATATTTGACGCAGATAAGAGAACAACCATCAGGCCACCGCCGGGCTTGACTGAATGGCCGATTGAGTTTTTGCTTGCTAAACACCGCCACAAGCATTTGTTCCGCCGCCGATACGCTCCGAAGATGAGTGATGTCAGCAAGGCCTTGACCAAGTGGTACAACAAGCAGGTGTGGAGATACACAGCTACCCAGCAAGATGAGATCGAAGATAATCCATGGAGGATGTTTCGGCATATGCCGGCTATCGCACCATCGTGCCCTGCTGCAGTGCCGCCGGCTTTTGACCAAGTGTGCAGAGAAGTTGTTGATGGAGTGTGGCATGAATGCCGAAAGGCACGAGGCTGCCACATGCACAACAGAAGGGCCATCTCCAACAAGTATGGGAGCATAGGAATGTTACCCAACGACACAAATGGGGGGTATTGTTTGATTGCAAGAACAACGTTAGCCACGGAATGCTTGAATATAATGCGTTCCACAAGGTATCGAGAAGTCGTGATTCCCGCTGATGCGGAGGATTTTTTCGAGGATTACGGTTTGGCTGTCTAAGACACTGGGAAGCGACTTGATGATCTCCACTTTGTCAATGCGATTCTATCCTAGGGCAAAGAAGGCTACGACAAATTGGTGTCGCGTTTGAAATGCACGGTGGAAACGCACAAGCCGGAAGGAGAGGTCGAATTACGAGCCAGACATGCGAGTGCTGGCAGCCCAATGACCGGTGGCATGCGCTGCGTGTCCCCCCTCCTTCGCTCCTCTTTAGCCCAGCAACCGCATCTTTTACGAGACAGCCATGACCTGCTATGCCATCTACGCGGCATAGCCGTTCTTGAGAACGACCGTTTCCTCAAGATCGATCTCAAACATTATTTCGTGATTGGAGAGCATCATCATCGAATTCGTCATTCTACACAGGCGATAGAGTGCCCTGTGTCCCGGCAAGCGTACACAACCCTCCTGGCAGCGACACTCCGTAATTGGCTTATCTCCATGGAAGGGTTGGCATACATATGTATATATACATATGTATATATATGTATATCTTTACATATATATATATATATTATGGACAGTACAATGGGGCACTGGGATGGGTTTGCTTTCTTCGGGGGACGTCGGCGACACAGCTTTCAATTTCGTGGCCGAGCAGAACTTCGCAGCAGACCCCAGAATCAGAAGAAGATACGGCATCAATTTTTTACGGACGGTTCAAAGCTGATATTCTTATCATCTTGAACGGGGGCGCTCACGCAAGACCGTGGGGGGCGACTTCGCAAGAGAGATGCGGCTCCGGACCCAGTTCTTCAAACTCCGGGTTGAGAGTTTGACAGTGGAATCGGCAGTAATGTTAGACGTGGAGCTGAGAAAAGGACGACGAGTGGAGGCGCACATGTCGATCGTCCCATTATTGTTTCGTCAAACCCACATCGGTCTACACTCCTCTTGCCCTTTCTTCTGCCCACCCTATGCATGTTCACTTCGCGTGGCCGGCGGCCATGATCAACATATTCAGAAGACTATGTTGTACCAGGAAGTCGGCAATAGCTTACAACAATCAATCTTTGACTGGCGTGAGAGTCCGTGACGGTATAGTTCATACCAGCGAACGTCATCATAGTTGCCAGCCCCAATTTTCCAGCAGAAACGCGGGCTCTGCGGCGAAGACGTTTCTTGTTCTTCCATTTTACAAGACACATACAGGAGGGTCTTCCGGAGAGTAAAGCAGAAATGCGGGATCGCAGGGGGTCTCAGCAAAATCTGACTTTCCTGCAAGCTCTCCTCCAAGCATGTGGTACACGCTTTAACGAATATGAGCAAACACCCAAGGGATGAGTCTTGAAGTGTTCCGACAGAGTGTGTACGGCTTCTGGTTGGTAGGCGGGGGTAGGTGGTGTTTTTGGTATCTTGGGTATCTTTGGGCGAACGAGGCCCGTTGACGCTCGGGTGCGCATGCCCACTTGACAGCATTAGGGCTCAGGCCGCTTAGCATCCGAGGCCACGCCCACCGTGAGCAGAGTGGTGGGGAGCCCATACATGCACACAGTTGAAAACATGTGCGATCATATTCAACATTCCCTTTGCTCCCCACGCTGGACCCCCCCCCGTCTGGTGAAGCCTCCGGGGGGGCCTCTGGAAGGCGTTGTTTGGGGTCTCCAAGGTTGGGGGCCTCTTGACGGCGCACTGGAAGCCGTGCGTGGGGGCCTGTGAGGCGCCCAGGACGTTGGACGCCGTCGGCACTTTCTCGAAGCTTGGGCGGTCTTGGAGCCTTCCTGGGGCTCTCTTGGGCTCCAGGCGGGGGAGGAGGGGGAAGAGGAGGAGGAGGAGGAGGAGGAGGAGGAGGGGGAGGAGGGGGAGGAGGAGGAGGAGAAGGAGGAGGAGGAGGAGGAGGAGGAGGAGGAGAGGAGGAGAGAGGAGGAGGATGAGGAAGCTCTCCTGGTCCGTTCGGGGCACTCTTCCGGGGCCGTCCGGGGCCCCTTCCGGGGCTCCCTGGGGCCGTCCGGGGCCCCTTCCGGGGCTCCAGTTGGGGCGGTCTTTTAAAGCCACCTTGAAGCCATAAGAGCCCTCCGGGAGTTCCTCGACGCCGAGATCCCCATCGAACTCTGTCTGTAGATGTCGGGAAGTGTGCAGTCGGACTTGATTGGGCAGGACACGCGAGAGGACACACGACCCTTCCAAGGGCCACGTTGCCATAGGAATGTAGGAGGCATGGGTCGAGAGACACAGGACACAAGGGTACCCTCGATTTGGCAGGGTCGACCTACTAATCTGGGCCGACTGTGAGAGCGAGTCCGCGTAAACGACAGGCGCGGCAATGACGACGACGACAGAGACGACTCCAGTGACGTCCTCCTCCTCCTCCTCCTCCTCCTCCTCCTCCTCCTCCTCCTCTGGACATCTTCCAGGAGATGCGAAGGAAACGCAACTGGAAGAGCGAGGGGGAATTCCTCTTGCCGTTCTCCCCGCGGCAATTCAGGCAAGCGCGCATGGCATCGCTACGCCCGCTCTCTGGCGTGCTACTCGCGGCGCCTGCTGGCATTTGGGGTGGCCACGTGCTACGCAGGCTATATCGCGGTAGCTGTTTGTGTGCGAGAGCACTCGTGCGAGTGAATCTGAGCGTGGATGATCTGAGTGTGAACGAGTCGGAACGTGAGTGGGCCCGAGTATGAGCGAGCCTGAGTGTGAATGAATCTGGCTACAGCCAGTGTGCGTAGAGTGAGCTTGAGTATGAGTGAATCTTAGTGCGAGCGGGTCTAAG